TTGGTCACCATCCTTTGAAAGGTTGCCCCGGCGTTCTTTAAACCAAAAAGCATAACTCGGTAGCAGAAAAGTCCCCTTGGAGTCGTGAAAGAGATGATCTCTTGGTCAGGCCCGTGCATGGCAATCTGATGGTAGCCGCGGTAGGCATCCAAGAAACTGAGCCTATTGTGTCCAGCCGTCAAGTCCACTAGCTGGTCAATGCGCGGCAAAGGGAAGTTGTCTTTGGGACAAGCTTGGTTGACTGTCTTATAGTCGACACAAACTCGCCACTTTTCATTCTTCTTGGGCACCACTACTGTGTTGGAAATCCACCGAGGGTAGTGCACTTCCTGAATTGCTCGTGCCTCAAGCAGGTTCTTAACCTCCTCTGCAACTACCTCGGCGTGATGCAGTGCCGATCTCCTTATTCGCTGGATGACTGGCTTTGCTCCAGGGAAGACGTTAAGGTGGTGGCAGATAAAACTTGGATCGAGGCCAGGCATGTCGTAGGGCGACCACGCGAAGACTTCGATGTTGGCCATTAAAAACTCAACCATCTCGGTCCTCTCTATGGCCGTGAGACTGGAGCCGAGCAAGAAGAACTTGTCCGGCTGTTCTGTATCAATTCGCACCTCAACCAATTCCTCAACAGCCTTGTCTTCGGCCTTGGTGCCCACATCATCCAAGACACCCTGGTCCTTCGGTCCTTCAATCATTTGAACGAATCCTTTGGCAGCCCGGCTTCCGTTGACTGCCACGAAGCACTGCTTGGACATGACCTGATCGCCCCAAATCTCCTCGATTGCCCCCATAGCCGAGGGGAATCTCATCACCTGGTGATAAGTCGATGCTACAGCTTGCATGGCGTGTAGCCATCCCCTTCCAAGGATACGGTTGTACGTCGAAGGCACTTGTAGCACCCAAAACTCAACTTGTCTGACCACGGATCCTGCTTTGACCGGCAGGATAATCTTTCCCAAAGGCCACTCTGGTTGTGAGTTGAATCCGACTAGTGGCGAAGTTGCCGGAGCCAAGTCTGTCTCCCGGAGTTTAAGCTGCTTGAACGCATCATAGTACATAATCTCGACCGAGCTTCCCTGATCGATCAAGATCCGCTTAACATCAAAGTCCTTGACGCGTAGCGTTACTACTAGGGCATCGTTGTGCGGCGTCTAGATACGCTCTAGATCCCTTGAGGTGAAACTAATCACGTCTTTTTCTTCAGTCTTCCCCATTTTGATGGCAGGCTATACCGACAAAACTTCCCTCATATGCTCTGACTTTTTTATCATGCCCCGGAGTTTGCAAACACGCTTCGGTTCCACGATACCGTAGATGACATTAATAACTCCCTGTGGTGGTGCGTCTCGGTCATCCTATTCCCTGGGATCAACCGGAGCCTAATTCGGCTTCACGCCGCCATCAATGTAAAGGTCTAGATGCCCGGCCGCAACCAGCTCTTCTAAATGTTGCCGCAAAGGCAAACAATCCTCAGTCCGGTGGCCTCTCTCCCAGTGGAACGTGCAACGATACCGCGGATTGTAGCCCTTTTGTCCATCGCCCAACTTAGCAGGAAACCGGACATACTCCTCGTCTCGGATTTCACTAAGTATGCGATAGATTGGAATCTTGAAGACCGTGGTTATGCCAGTCCTTGCCTTCATCCTTCTGTTTGCGTCCGATGCGTTATCTCGGGGGTAGTCATCCCGGTCATTCCGACGTCCTTTACCCCGGTTTTTACGGTTCGAACCACGGTCCGATTCCTCTGCTCGGTCACTTGAACGGCTGGGCTCTTGCCCAACTGCGTGCACTTTGCCTGCTGTCTTCTTGTCTGTTGCTACCGGAGTGGCCTTCACGGTAGAAGCTGACGCGTCATCCTCTACTCGGATGTGTTCATTGATACGCTGCATGAGCTGGCCCATGGAGGTCGGCTGGTGCATGGTAAGCGAGTCCCGTAGTCTATGTCCGACCGGGAGACCACGCTTGTATTGCGTGATTCCAAGATTGACCGGGCAGTCCACGATCTCGTTGAAGGTTTCCCAGTACCTTGAGTTGTATACCTTCAGTGTGTCACTCGGTTCCATCTTGACACTCAGCAAATGATCGACTTCCTTTGGTGTCTTTGTGTTGGTTTTGAAGCGTGTAACAAACGCCTCGGCCAGTTGATGCCACCTTTGTATGCTCCCTTCCGACAACCTCTCGAACCACTTTAAGCCCAGCTCGCCCAAACTTGACGGGAAGATTAGGCACATAAGTCCGTCATTGCGCCTATGTCCGGCCATAACCTGTCGGAAGTGGCTCACATGCATATATGGTTCGGTTTTTCCGTCGTAAAGTGTGAGCTTAGGCTGGTGGAAGCCTGTTGGAAGTGGTGTTGTTTCTATTTCCAGGGAAAAAGGGGTGGCACTCAGCCAAGCCAAGTCCGTATCTTCAAAGAGTGGCACTGCTTGGCGGGGTGGAGGCATTCCGACCTCCTCGCTGGTGTGAACCCCGTAGGATAGCCGCTTGAAAGTAGGTATTCTCTGGGCTTCGCGCCGACGAGCCCGCTCCTTTAAGACCGCCCGTAAATCCTCTGACTGAGCGGAGTAAGAGTATCTTGATGTCGTCGCCGGATGTGAAGGTTTGTAGGTGCTGTCTTGCGCGCTAGACTTTTCGGCATGCGCGTTGGAATCACCAACCTGGTAACTTCTGGTAATAGATATGGACTGAGTACGTCGCTGACTCTGGCCGCCTGAACGACGGGATGTGGGGTGCGCTCACTGTGGTCACCCACTCTAGCTTCACCTTTCCCTTTGACATGCCGCTTCAGATCCTCCATCTCCGCCGCCATTCGCCGGATGACAGCGTCTTGGTCCCTCAACTTATTTTCCAGACGTCTGGCGTGTGAGTCTCTCCTCCGCCAGTGACCGTCTGGACTCCGTGAATGTCCATGACTTCTTCCGCGCTTATCCCGCGCGTCTCCTGACTGGCCTCCTGTGGGCGTCCCCAAGTCCGCCATTGAATGGATGGTGGGAGGGCCTTCTCTCCTTCAGGTGAACTCCGGGGTAGCTCCATCTATGGCAGACAACGGAAACTCATCGTTGTTCGCCATGGACGACGATCAGATGAACCTGGAAGACAAGGTTTTGTCTGTCAAGTTTCCCACAGACGGCGCCAATTGTACGGGGAGCAAATATTTCGGCAAGCCCGTACTCCTTTCTTCCGAGCTCCGTTTATGTCCGATCACCTCGCGCAAACTATGGTGAGCTACCCGGCGGTGGGTGGCGGAAAACCCTCCGACGATCAAGTTAGCACACACCTTAGGATAGAGAGAGAGAGAGAGAGAGAGAGAGAGGGTGTTTGAATGTAAGAAATTCCTTACAAAGTGTTCATCTGTCGCGTATGGGGGCGCAACATACTTATATACCCTCTGCGCCCATATCCACTCCCAGTCATTCTCTGACACGTGGCTCCGCTATCCCATTCTGTCAGCATAAACCTTGCCGATCATCACCTAATCACAACTGCCTGCCTTCTCAGCTGGAGCTCGGCAGCCGAGCTGCTTCTCTATCCACGGCCGTGCTGTGCTTCATACCCAAGCGCTTCACTGGCTAGGCCCAGGGAGGACCGGGCTAGGCGGCATCTCGGCAAAGCCAAGCCCGGGGCACCTCCTGTGGTCGGCCTTGCTGCCGATCAAACGGTTTCCTCAGTTGACCACGCCTTTCCGGGCGCCGGTCGCTCAGCTTGTCTGGCTTCAGCCATCCCCTGATCAAGCAGCTCGGTCCAACAGAGCACTGCCTTGCCGAGCTTCTTTACGGTCCGGGGCGGCACACACTTGGCCCAATTCCTACCCGGGCCAAGTTTTGGCAGCCCATCTTCGGGCGGATAGTCGATCATCTCGGCCCCATGCACGGTTGGGCTCTCAATCTGCTCGGCCGTTGCCTCGGCCCAATTCCAGATCATAAATCACCCTCTCAGTTACATAAACAAAAATACTATAATAGTAAATATTTGGTGATATGATCTTTGTTTGCATTTGTGTCATCACTATTTTTACATTTTCTTGGCCAAGGTAATAATTGTGTCATCACTATTTTTAATTTCTCCATCTCTCTAAATTTTATAATGCAAAATATTTAAATTGAGTGGATCTGAAAAGTGAAAAATATTGATTAAAATATTAAAATTTTCACTAAAAATAATAAAATACAAATTAAAATTTTACAAACTATTTTTGGAAATTCTAAAACCAAGTAAGTTTTGAACTTTAAATTTGTAAAAATTATTTTTAATTTTTAACATATACAACCAAACAAAATTTTGAGTTTGACAAACTCTTTTCAAAAATCTAATTATAAAATTCATTTGAAAATCCACAACCATACGAATCATCTATTTATATTTTCACCTCAAATTTTTTTTCCCAACAAATTAAATAAATTACATTTTAACCCAACATTTTTATATTCAATTACATTTTCATTCCAACAATATTTTCACTGTGCCTTCAGGCACGGGCATACCCTAGTATGTATATATATATATTAAGTCTTTATTTGGGAAGAGCTAAAATAATCTGATTTTTTAACTCTGTAATTATTTTAGCCTGATTTTTTTAGTCTCGTTTGGTTTTTGTTTTTGACTTTCATAAATTTTGTGAGAGAAAAAATGTAATAATTATGGTTTGAATGTGATATTTTGTCTTATCGATTTATGTAGGCAATTTTTTTTTTTTTTTTTTTGTATTTTTTAGCCAAAAAGCTAGAGCCAAACATAACTTAGGGGTGGTTTGGAATAATCTAAATAAATGTATTTTTTAAATTTTTATGAAAAAATATGTAAAAAAATAAAGAGGTGATGTAATAAAAAAAATAAAAAAATAAAAAAATGTGTACTTATCAACACACCTCAAACAAGACATTAATTATAACAAAGCGAATCGATTTACGTGTTATAAATTTTAAAATTTAAATCACGATTAACGATTAACAATTAAAACGGTACAAATTAATACAAAGTGATTTTGACGAATTAGACGATATTTTAGGCAACTGGCCACGCAGTAGTAAATCCGCCACTGCTCCCATCCAGTAGGTCTCCATTCCCCGAGAGAGAGAGACTCCTTCCGGGCTAGGGTTTTGGCCACCCAAAATGGTAGCTGACCGCGGCAAGAAATCGAAGGTCGCCGATAGAACTCAGGACGAACATTCCGATCACATTGACACTGACCTTGTCCTCTCGATCGAAAAGTTGCAGGAGGTCCAAGACGACCTCGACAAGGTTCTCCTTCCCACTCTCTCTCTCTCTCTCTCTCTCTCTTCTATATATATATATATATGCGTTTACAAAGAGAGAAAGATACTCCTGATCTTTGAATTTCGGAGGGCTTTGCTATTCGGAGATGTTTTGTATATATATACATGATGATTGTTTTTCTTATTGTTATTAAAATTTCTATTGCCTTATGTTTATGCATTGTGTACTAGCCTGTGACTTTTAAAGCACGAAATTTGTAGTCTTTTTTTTTTTTTTTCGCTTAGATTGTAGTGATTAATGCGCTTCTTCACAGCCCTTTTTGTTAGGCATTGATTCTGGATTTGTTGGTATGTTTCGCAATACAATGTCGATGCTTGCCTCCTCTAGTGTAATAATACTGTCACCCTTGTGAACAAATAACTAAAGGTTGAGTTTTTTTCAACTTAAAAAAAAATTAAATTAAATTAAATTTGAAGTCTTGTTCTCTTCATGGTTCCCACTTTTGAGAAATTCCAAGGGAATGAGAAGGAAATGACATGGAAATCTTAAAAAATAAATAAATACTAGGTTAAGGTTTGTTCCTTGCTTTCAGAGAACAAATAGTGGGTCGAGGATTTGTTTTATTTTATTTTTTGGGTGCCGTTATAAACAACCCCCGGCAGTAGATCTAAAGAATAAATGGACAGAAGGTCAATTGGAAGCCTTATGATTTTATAGTTAATTAGTTTCTTTACTTTTAATTTAACTGAGACCTGGTTTGACAAGTGACTTTTTTAGTCAAAAAGTTACTAAAAAAGTCAAAAAGTCAGCAACCTATACCAAAAAGTCAAAGATTCCCTTTTTATCTCTATTTTTTGCACATCTTTTCGTAAAAAGTCAAAAAATCATCCCAAACATACTAGTTTTTTTACATCATATTTTAGCCAAAAAGTCAAAAAAAATACTAAAAAAACATGTTCCCAATCGTGGCCTGAGTAACTATTATGAACCATTAAGTAAATATCAACCTTCTCTATCTCTCTCTCTCTGTCTGTCTCTCTTCTTATGCTACCGTTCTTTTTAATGTTTATCTCGTGTGTAATCTATTAGTTAGAGACTTATCATATTGACCCAATCCTTGACGTGCCAATGTCAACACAATTGGCACCATATGCATATTTGTACACACTTGCGACATGGATGGATGCTGGTTTCCAACGTTTAAAAGAAGACTAATCATTCGGCAATATTTGCATTGCTTTAGACAAAAATCGTTTGATTAGTTAATGTCCAGAACATTTTTAGTATCAAACTCATTTGATACAGGACAGTTTCATTACCATTGAAGTGAGGTTGAGCAAACACAGTTCGATTTATGGCATCCTCTACAATAAACCAGTGTGCAAGACCAATGGCTCTTTCCTTGTTGGAAACCTTGTGTCCACTTCTCATTTTTTCAAATTTTGAATTTGTTGCATCCATTAAACATGTTGAATTTGCTCCTATTTATCGTTGGACCTATAAAGAATAACTTTTCAATTGTTTCATATTTGTATATTTACATTTAATTTTTTTTTAAATTGCTTTCATAACATATCAAAATTTTAAGCACTAAGTAGTTATTGTGCACTTAGGTAGGTGATCCTAGTAAAGAATTTTAGCACCCTAGATTTTGTCACCTTATTTATACCTTGAAACAATCTTGTCAGTAACTCTTTGACCTAAAGCAATTGTTATTCCTGTTAAATAATTCTAGTAGAAAAAGTCCTAATTTGGAATCATTTTCAAATTTTTTGTTTTTTGATTTTGCTTTTTCATGTTTTCAGAAACAAAAACAATAAGAAGTTCGAAAACATTTATGGTCTTCATATCATTTCATTTGTGTGCAAAATTAGTTTAAAAAAAAATCAGAGAACAATTTGAAGTGTTTCCTAAAAAAGTTGTTTCCAGGAAAAAAATCCCAAAAATATGTTTTGAAAATAGTTTGAAGTTTTCTTTATCAAATTTTCTTTTTTTGATACCAAGCATGCCCTAAGGTTTCAAAGATAATGGTGAACTTGGAAAGAATTGAAGTTCTACTTTACCAGCAATCAGGAACTAATAGTTTGAAGTTTTCTTTATCAAATTTTATTTTTTTGATACCAAACATGCCCTAAGGTTTCAAAGATGATGGTGAACTTGGACAGAAATTGATGTTCTACTTTAACAGCAATCAGGAACTAATAGATCGCATCTTCATTGAGTTCAAACCTTGGATGAGGTGCAAGAGAAGTTGGAGAAGGTTTACCATTTTGTATATATAATATAAGTACATAAATGTATAAATAATCTTAGATTTCAGACTTGTCTAATAGAACATGAAGTGTTGTTCTTGTTCTTGTTGATGTTGATTAGTATTAGTATTAGTGTTTACTATCTTACTGCTTTTTCCCATAGTTTGGATTCTGGAAAGAATTGAAATTAATGCTTCAAATGTGCAATAAAGGGAACTATTACTAGACCATATTCATTATCTTTCATTCCATGCTGTTCTCACTTTTCATATAGTCAAAAGGAAAAAATGTTCACTGTGCTTCTTTTATTGTGTGTCTTTTAGCTTTTGAGTTGATTTTCTATTTATCATATTTCAGGGATCCAAATAAATAGTTAGTCTGCATGTTTCTGCATTCCTCAAGAAAGCCAAGGGCAGTGAATGGGAGAGTGTGTGAATAATGCTAGTGGAGGCCTTATAATTCTGTAGTCTGAATTGTTTTCTAATATTAATGCTCCATAACATTTCTTATTTTTTGCATTACTTATCTAAGATACTTCGCAACATTACATGTGATTTATCTAGGAATTGTCAACCTTTGTTTTTTGTTTTCCCTTTTCAGTAATTCTGTTTTGTTTTCTGTTTCCTTTTCCTTGTTGCTTCTTTTTTTTGTTTGTTTATTTGCTATAGTAGCTCAATGTACTTGGACATTTAATGTTACCCCAACCCCCATAACAATATGCCAATAGTATTGGACAGATTTGCAACACATCTATTATTCCTAGGTTTGAAAAATGGGAGTAGAATATGAATGTTTCAATGAGATTGGGCATTAAGCATGTAGACAGTTTAGGTCGAATATTTTGCAGGCAGCAAAATTTGTGCTGAAGATGGAATGATGACTATGGTTTTCATACTTACCAGAAAGGGGAAAAAAAAAAAAGAAGCACGGTTTTGACTCTCTCTCTCTCTTTTTTCCCCCTTTCTAATTTATTGTAAAAGCATTGGCATCATTGATCTAAGTTCAAATCTCCTATATTTATGGATTTTGCAAATATTCAATAATTTATGAGGCTTAGAATTAGTAATTCACCCTGATTTTATCATAATTCTACATGAATTTTGTGAAGTAGTTTTTATTTATACAAAAATTGGATACATAATTTTCATTAGAATTCCACGTCTTTTAAGTTTATTGTGTGTTTCCCAAGTGTCTAAAACGTGTTTGGTTTTAAAAATAAAAATAATAGCACATGTTTGGACACGTGTCCAATATGTGTCAGGGTGTGTTTCGCAAGTGTCAACCCCTTCTTAGAAGTGTCCATGCTTTATCACATCTAGTCACTTGGACCTTTTTTACAGTGTCCCAACATCCTAACTGTTGGGAATTAGAAGAATCTGGCACTTGTCCATGCATGCTAATGACCATTAACATAGAATTTGTTTTTTAAGGTCATTTTTCTACCATTTTGCCTTTATTTTTTATTATATGGATCTATATTTCAATTTGATGCGTTTTATGTGGTGCAGTTGTACATTTTTCTTTTTTCTTGTTGATATTTTATGTTTATTTTTCATCACCTTTAACTATATAGCTGGTCAGATGACATTACTGTCAAGTACTTAAACTTCTATAAACTAGGGTAGTTCATTAATTTCCATGAAAGCTTTTCTATACCTGTATCCAACAGTTTAATGAAGAAGCTAGCGAGAAAGTTTTGGAAGTAGAGCAGAAGTATAATGAGATCCGCAGGCCTGTCTATGTTAAACGGAATGAGATCATCAATTCTATTCCTGACTTTTGGTTGACTGCTGTAAGTGATCCAGCAAATCTCTATTCATTCTCATTACAGACTCTTTATTAAGTAATATGAGATTTTACTTTTTCCACATTTTATTTACTTTTGCATTATTGCTCTGTGCAGTTCTTGAGTCATCCTGCACTTGGTGATCTTTTGAGCGAGGAAGACTCAAAGGTTTGGCATATGATACATAAAATCAACTGAACATTTGTTTTGGCATAACTGATCATTGTTGTCTACAACGTTTCCTTTATTCTCCTTTTCAACATTAATTTATGAGATTTTTGTTTTTGATTTGAATCACTGGGATTCGATATTTATGCATGGGGCTGATGTTCTCACCTTCTCTGGGACATAACTGAATTGGGATAAATTTTTCTTGTTTTGACTTAGATTTTCAAGTACCTAGATTCTCTTGACGTGGAGGATTTTAAAGATGTGAAGTTGGGGTACTCCATAACATTTGTGAGTTCTTATTCCAGTTCCCTTGTTTAGCTGGGTTAGGCTTTCTTAAAAGAGCTGTTCATTGTTTTTATTGTTTAGATACTTCTAATAGATAATTCGTTTACACACAGTCATTCCTGTGCTGAGTTGTTACTGACTCTTTTGCATGCTTCAAACTTTCAGAACTTCAAACCTAATCCTTATTTTGAAGATACAAAGCTGACGAAAACCTTTACATTCTTTGATGAGGGAACTACTAAAATAACTGGCACAAACATCAAGTGGAAGGAAGGCATGGTAATGGTGATACCTTCTATGGCTTTTTGTATGTTTAATTATTTTCAGATTTAAAAGAATATGAAATTCAACTTGTGAAGGGTGCTGCTAATGGAGTTAATCATGAGAAAAAAGGGAACAAAAGGCTGCCTTCTGACGAGAGGTACCTTATCTCGCTAATTTTTTCTTCAATAAAGCTATTTTGTAGCAGTAGTTAAAATATTATGGTAGATGCTAGAAATTGGGGCAAGCAAGGTAAGACCTTATTGCCTGAAGGAATGATCACTTCCATACAAGCTGACGGTCAGAAACATACATCTACAGAAATTATTATTATTTTTAATTAAATTTGTATGCATGTATGGAGACAAATCTAGTCCTTTAATATGTATGCTTGTATAGACACAAATCTAGGTGTTCAGTTTTTTTTTTTTTAAACGTATCAAAAAAATGTTTCTTTGTTGTGCAATGAGTAAGAGTAATTCCAGTGGAAGTGGCACAAGATAGTGCAACTCATGTACATGCATTGTATACAAATGCAAACCTATATAACTAAAAATAAACAAAGTATGCAAGTTATCATAATCCAAAATATGGCTCAAGGGATAGATCCATCCTCCCGATTACCGAACGTAATAGAAAATTCATACATCCTCTTCAGCTCCCTGCTCAAGTTATAGTTTTGAATCATTGAAAAATTTACTGCAGTCCAATAAACGAAGCAATAATGAAGGCATTTGCCTTCGGCTAAGAGGTGCAATAAACTGTTTGTTGCAGGTTTTTTTTTTTTTCTTCTTTTGTAATTAATTCGAATGTGATTGTTGTCAAAACCTTGATGCACTTAACTTAAAAGCAGCTGCTGGCAATGGCGGATAAATACCAACTCAAAGTTGCAAGCCATATTTTGAGGTGTTGATCTGGTGGAATAGCTTTGGGCACTGTACTTTAAGTTTGATTACTTGAATATGTTAGTAGTTCCCAAACTTGTAAGAGACCCCTTCTAAGAAGCATGGACATGCGACATGACACAAATGCTGATACGACAACTTTCGAAAAATGTAGGACACAACACGTGGAGGACACGCACAAAATATAAATTTTTTGTATATTTATTATATGCCAATATGTGAATATATCATTCAAAAATAACAAAAAATACAATATGACACTAATTTTTATAAATTTACAATGTTTTTTTTATCATTGTATCTTAAGTTTAAGTTTATAATTAGTTTCATGTATGTCTAATTAGTGGACACGTGCTTAAGCGATGGACACGTGTGTCCACCAAGTGTCCGGGGGGGTGTAAAGCAATTTAAAAAAAAAAAGAAGAAGATGTTTTGATGAGTGTCGGTGTCTAACATGGATATGCCACGAATACGCCACCTTCTTAGCGGTGTTTATTACAAATAAAATAAAAAATTCAATAAGAGAAATAAATGAACTGAAACCAAAATCATGGTTTATGAGATGCATCAACAAAAGTGAAAATAACAAAGCAAGAACATCCTCTATAGGAAACTTCACCTAAAAAAAAAGGGTAAATAAATAAATTTCTTGTACTAGTCTAGCTCTTTGCTGGTCAACAATGAATTGCTATAGTGCAGGCAAAGTTGGAGGGATGGGAGCATTATGTCTTGCTCTCATCATCAAACCTCTAGGCCTTGGATGGGCCGCCTCTAACATCCCTTATGCTACTAGGTGTAGATTCAAGCATGCCTTTCATGGTAACTGAAGTACATGAAGCTGGCTGATGGTAACCAATATGGCCTCCAGACTCAAGATGTGATAATCTCGTCACATAATTAATAACAATATTTGACAACCTCTCTGCATATTCTTCGGCCAAACTTCGCAGGGGAAACCTAGGAGTATAAGACCTAAGAAGCACAGATACTTTGAAAGTGTTGTGTCCGACAACGACATGACACTTGTCAATGCTTCCCAACATTTACACATGAAACACATTACAAGTTTGAATAAAAGAGCGGGAATCTAATAATAAAAAACAATGTAAAGTTATACATATAATTCTTATTTATCCTTGTATATGACATATGATTTAATAAATACATAAAATTATATATTTTGCACATGTCTCACACTTGTCGTATCCTACATTTTTTTAAAAAATTTGCATATTGGTGTGTCAATGTCGTGTCATATATCCGTTGTTCCTACTTCTTAGTGTAAGATAGATTGACACCACCCTCAAAACCATTCTGAGGAAACCTTGGAGGAGGAGGTAGCTGGTCAGCTGTAGTGCTATTCTAAAAGATGTAGTTTTTGGGAAAGGCTCTCAAAGGCATTACATTTTGGCCTAGATTTCCAGTAACTAGCACATTCTGCATAGAGGTGCTTCCAGCAATATATCCGAATTCTCTTCTTGCCACAATGCATCACTTTCACTTGCAGGAATGAAATGAGAAATAGATGAATTACTGACAGAGCTTGAATTAGTCATCCAATAATAAGGCTGCCTGATTTGGGAGGTACTACCAACCTAAGATTAAAAAGCATGGACACGTGACATGACACCGATACACCAACACAGAAATTTTCCAAAACATGTAGGACACGACACATGGGAGGCACGTTCAAAATATACAATTTTATATATTTATTGTATATCATACATGGGAAATAATTATTATATGTCTTAGATTATATATATGAATATTTAAGTAAAAAATAATAATTTTTACAGTCTAAATGAGGAGCATATGTATAAATTACATTGTTTTTTGTTTTATCATTGGGTCTCTAGTTATTTTATTTTATTTTTATATTTTTAAATTTATAATATGTTTCTTGTGTGTCTAGGTATTAGGAATTGTCATGTTGGTGTCAGACATGACACGTTACCTTCTTAGAAGTATTCGTGCTTCTTAGCTACCAACATGTACGGAGGAAGACATGCTTGAGAATGGTAAATCATGTTAAGTTGACCTCAGTTGTGCAAATAGTAGTTGATTAAGCATGAAAAGAATGCTGAAATATCTACTGTGAATGATGTGATGTATAAGCTATACTGCTGGAGCTCAATATGGTTTGACTTCCAATGTTAACTCATTTTCGATTAAATATACAATGTCATTGTAAAATTTTTGTGGCTATAGTATATGTGGTCACTGACTCATTCAATTTACTGTTACTAATGCAGCTTCTTTAGTTGGTTTAGTGAGACCCAACAGAAAGATATTTTGGAGGGGCTTCATGATGAGGTAAATTTTTGTATTTGAAGTGCTGCTATTGCGTACTCATATTTCCAATTCTATTGATTAGATTTTATCTCAAGTTGCAAGACTTTATTGTGATTACTGATGAGCTGTGTCATGTTTAGCTGTTCTTGCTGTGTTATTTAATCCTTTAAGATCCAGTCTTAATTGATACTTTTGGATCAAATTGGTTAGAACAATTAGTATTTTCTTTCTCTTCTCTTCTCTTCATTCTTTCCGTTTAATTCTTTGGCTTTTGCTTTGAAATTGCAGGTGGCAGAAATTATAAAGGAGGACTTGTGGCCCAATCCTCTCAAATATTTCAACAATGTAATCTTTTTTCTCTGTTCATTTACCTCTCAATTAACTTTCCTTTTTCTAGCTTTCCTTTGGGCTTAGAGGAACTTTGCTACTTTACTGGTGTAGGAAGCTGATGAGGAAGATTCTGATGGAGATGAGGATGATGATGAGGTAACTGAATGAAACTATATGTTGACCCATACCTTTATAATTATCTGTATGCTACTGTCTCTCTTTTTATGGGTATAATTATATGTGTACCCTTACCTTTATATGAATTGATTATCAAAAAAAGTTTCATGAAATTTCATTGACCTCCTTGACCTAAATCCATACATAATATAATCCGAAGTCAGGTCAGTAAGTAAAGCATACACTGTTGGGGGGGAACTTGGCCATCCTTAGTGGCCACTCAAGACTGAAGTTTTACTTGATTTTAAGAGACTTCAGCCACTGTTTCCCTTTTTTACTTTCAGCTGGTGAGGTGAATATGTTCCACCACAGAATATGTATCCTGACATGTGGTGAAAGTAAAAAAGGGAAGAGTTGAGGTCTGTAACAACTTTTTGTTAGCTTGTCAAATTATGGATAGAATTTTTTTTTTAATTATTATTATTTTTTTAATTTTTTTAAATTTGTGTTCTCAATTTGGGGATCATTTTTACCCGCACACTACTGTCTCCTTTGATCACCATTAATACATTTTTCAACATGCTACAACTACAATTGAAATGCTGGGATTGTCTACTTCACCAACATTATGACCTAAACAATAAGGTGCCGTTTGGTAACACTAACGTTTTCAGTTTTCTGTTTATATTTACAAAAATTTTAAAAACTCAAATAAAAACTTGTTTGGTAAAATTTTTAATTTATAAATCAATGGTCTCAGTTTATAAATTTGGCTAAAAAATGAAAACACAAAAAATGTGTTTCCATTTTGAGTTTTCAATTTTTTTTTTTATCACCCAACATTAGCCACCACCCGCCACCATTTTCCACCACCGTCTTCCGCCACCACCACCCACCACCCATCCTCCACCACCACCTGCCCCCACCACTCACTACCCACCTGCCACCACCACCCACCACCCATTTGCCACCCACCAGCCGTCGTTACCACCCGCCACCGTCACCCACCCATCCACCACCACCACCACCATCACCACCTGCCACATACTCGCCACCACCCACCACCACCAGCCATCCGTCACCCACCGGCCACCACCACCCGTCACTACCACCACTACCACCACCCACTCGCTACCATCCACCACCCGCTACCACCCACCACCCGCCACTCACCACCTACCTGCCACCCACCTGCCACCATCCACCACTACTACCACCACCACCCACTTGCTACCACCTACCACCACCGTCACCCACCCACCCATCACCACCACCACCACTACCGCCGCCGCCGCCACCACC